GGGATTACATTGGAAGCATTGTTGTATTAAGAATATTGAGTCTTCTGATTCATGACCACAATATGTCTTTCTATTTATTTAGGTTTTTAACTTCTTTTTACCATGTTTTATAGTTATCAGAATATACCTCTGTAACTCATTTGTTAAATTTACTTCTATGTATTTTATTCTTTTTTGATGTTATTATAATTGGAACTATTTTATTCATTTCATTTTTTGCTTGTTTATTACTTTTGTGTAGAATACAATAAACTTTCATGTATTGTCTTGCAATCTTGCTAACTAATTTATTAATTCTAAGAGGTTCTTAGTGGATTCTTTAGGATTTACTAGATACAGGATGATCACTGCAAACAGAGATGGTTTTATTAACATTTTGCAATCTTCATTTCTTTATTTATTTTTCTTCTTTAAGTGCACTGGCTAAAATCTCTAATATAAAGTTAAATCATAATGGTAAGAGTGGATGTACTTGTCTTGCTCCTGATCTTAGGGAAAAGCATTCAGTCTTTCAGCTTTAAGAATGGTATTAGTTGCATTTTTTAAAATAGATGCTCTTTATGAGATTAAATAAGTTCATTTCTATTCCTAGTGTGTTGAGTGTTTTATTATGAAAAATGTTGATTTTTAGTAAATGCTTGTTCTGCATCTGTTGAGATGATCATGTTGCAATACAATGTTAGCCTGAAGAATGAGTTGAAAAGTGTTTCCGTCTCCAGAGTTTTTGGAAGATTTTGTGAAGAATTAGTATTAATTATTTAAATGTTTGGTAGTGGTGGTGATAGGGAAGCCTGAATTTTTTGTTTGTTGTTGAAAGTTTTTTGATTACTAATTTAATCTTTCTAATAGCTGTGTATTCAGTTTTTCTATATATTCTTTAGTTAGTTTTTACATTTATGTCTGGTTAGGAATTTGTCATTTCATCTAAGTTACTAACTTTTTGACATACAATTGCTCAATAATCCCCCTGTAATCCTTTTTATTGCTGAAAGGTCATTAATGATATTCTTTTATTCCTGATTTTAGTTAAGTCTCCCTCTCCACTTCACTTAGAAAATTCAGCTAAAAGTTTTGTCAATTTTGTTGGTCTTTTCAAAGAATCAACTTTAAAAATTTTCCTGTTGGTTTTCTACTCTTTATTTCATTATTTATTGCTCTGATCTATATTATTTCCTTCCTTTTTCTTGCTTTGGGTAGAGTTTGTTCCTCCCTTTTCACCCTCTGAAGGTAGAAGACTAGGTTATTGTTCTAAGATCTTGATTTTCTAGTATAGGCAGATACATTTCCCTCAAGCACTGCTTTATTTGCATTTCATAAGTTATCGTATCTTGTGGTTTTATTTCCATTCATCTCAAAATATTTTCTAAAATTTCTTATGTGATTTCCTCTGTTACTCATTGATATTATGGGAATGTGTTTTTTACCATTGACATATTTTTGAGTTCCAAATATGCTTCTGTTAGTTTAATTTCATCCTGTTGTGATTTGGGAATATATTTTGTATGAAGTCACTTAAAATTTTATTTTAGCATTTTTAATGCTGTAGGATATGGTCTGTCCTAGAGAATGTTCTATGTGTATTTGAGAAAAATGTTCATTTGTTGTTTTTAGCTGTGTTAGATATTGTTGGTTTATATTGTCATTTTTAATTTATATCCTATTTAGTTGTTTAATCCACTATTAAAATTTGCTGATTTCAGTTTACTATTATTTATTCTTGAATTGCCTATTTCTACCTTCAAAACTGTCACTTTGGCAGTTCTGTTGTTAGGTGCAATGTATACATATATAATTTTTACATCTTCCCAATGTCTTGCCTCTTTTCTTATTATGAAATATCCCTCTTTTTCTCTAATATTTTTTTGTTTTAAAGTATATTTAAAATATACTTTCTGATATGAATATAATTACTCCAGTATTCTTATGGCTGCTAGTTGCATGATCTTTTTCCATGGTTTTATTTTAATATATTTGTATTTCTGATTCTAGAATGTGTTAGTAGATCTCTTTCAATTAGTGATGAATGACCATTTTTACCAGTGAAAGTGTTGTCTATAATAAGGGGGTAATATATTATTTCATTTATATGATTTATATAATTAGTATTATTGTTTTTTAAATGTTTATATATCTCATATTGTTATCCTGGATAATGTAGTTATATTAATCAGATATAATCCCCTGTTATACAAAATTAAAATATAATTTAACGAATTTATTATCTTAATTTTCCTACTTATTTGAGAAGAGGATAAAATATATTTATTTTATAGCAAGATACCACATGTCTATAAACTTAAATTTGAACTTTAAATCTCACTTTTTTTAAGAGTAAATTAATGTTTTAAGAAATCCCTTTCAGGTTAACATATAGATTAAACCTTAGTTTTATATCAGTACATTAGTATTTGACCATGGAGAAAACCTTTAAATAGCTTTAACTGATTGTTCTACATACATATAACCAACTTAGTTACACATAAACTTGTTGAAATTTGCCCTTTACTTACATAGACCCCCATGTTGTTTATTTCTTTTTTAAATTGATTCTAAAAAATATAAATGGCAGTGGACTGTTTTACAATTCATATATATAATATATATCTCACAATTTTACATTAAATAATTTTAAATTCTAACAATAAATTTGAAGTTTGCTGATTCAAGCCATTACATCACAAGTTTTGACTATAGTAATAGAAGGCTGCTAGATATTCCCTGTTCTCATGGTAGTATCTTCCTTGAAATTCTGTTGAAAAGGAGTGGAAAATTTTTAGCCACTGCAATGTCTCAATTATTTTCTTTTAACATTATTTAGAACTCTTGTAAGATGATTAACATTGTATATGCATATGCTGCAGGAAAGGATAGTTTCTAAAAATGACTCAATAGCAGGTGGAATTAATGAATAAGAATATTTATGAATGTCAACTGGATGAAATAGGAAATGTGAGTTTGTTTTTTTTTAAGATATCTTTTGCAAAGAAAGGTTTAGCAAAATTCAAAGGAGTCAAAGTAGAAACTGTCTGATATAACAATGACTGATAATAATGTGGATAATTTCCATAGGTGATTTGTATAGAGAACTTAACTGTGTGTCAGACACAGTTCTAACATTTTTACATATGAGCCAAAGATTAGATCATTACATAGACTTACATGAATTGGTAGTGCTAATAGGATCAACCTTTATTTATAATTTCAAGGACATAAGCAATTAAGAGGCACAGGTAAAGCAGATTCCTGGATATTGAGAGAGGCAACCAGATTCTTTCTTACCACCATAGATAAAACTCTCAGGTTCAGAGCAGAATATTTTTTTTTATATAAGAAATTATATAGGCTATCTCATATAGAAAGCAGCATTATAGGCCATGAAATATCTTTATTTTATATCCAGATAATTGTCTAGCTCATGCCCCATGTCCTATAAATGTATAGATCCTAGGTTTGTCATAGTAATCCTAAACCGGAGATATCTTGATAAAAGTCTTTAATAGAGAAGCAGTCTTTTTTCTTTTCTTTTCTTTTTTAAGTAAATGCTATTAGGTTATTTTCCAACTATTAGCTTGATCATAAGAAAATTAGGTCAAGCTCTCCAACTTCTGAGAGAGCTTTGTACCTAACAAAACAGTATTGCTGTACTCCTTCCTTTCCAACAGATAAACTTATTTAAATTCAAATTCAATTACTTATTTATTGTTTAGAACAAACAAGGTCAAATATATTAAACGAAGAACTTCTGATATGTTTTAAAAATCTTTTATTTCATGGTTTGGTATAATTTGGTTATAGGATTGGGGAAAGAAATATAGTGCTAAATATACAATAAAATAAGTATATTCCCATCACAGATACCTCAATAGTAATTTGTGATTTATTTGTGAGTGTGTTTGTGTGTTGTGTATGTGCATGTATACTTCATATATAGTTTTTTTAATTTGTTTTAAGTGGTTATACATGACCACAGAATGCATTTTGATTCATTATATACAAATGGAGTACAATTTTTCATTTTTCTGGTTGTACATGATATAGAGTCGCACCATTCATGCAGTCATATATATACTTGGGATAATGATGTCTATCTCATTCCGCCATTTTCCAACTCCCATGCTCCCTTCCCTCCCTTCACTCCCCTCCACCCAATCCAAAGTTCCTCCATTTTTCCCTTCCCTTGCCCCCCCCCGCCCATTATGGATCAGCATTATCATCAACATATCAGAGAAAACATTTGGCCATTGGTTTTGGGATTGGCTTATTTAGCTTAGCATGATATTCTCCAACTCCATCCATTTACCTGCAAATGCCATAATTTCATTCTTCTTTAAGGCTGACTCATATTCCTTTGTGTTATATACCACATTTTCTTTATCCATTCATCTATTGAAGAGAATCTAGATTGGTCCCACAGTTTGGCTTTTGTAAATTGTGCTGTTATTAATATTCATGTGGCTGCATCACTATAGTATGCTGATTTTAAATCTTTTGGGTATAGACTGAGGAGTGGGTTAGCTGGGACAAATGGTTGTTCCATTCCAAATTTTCTAAAGAATCTCCATACTGCTTTCCAGAATTGTTGCACCAATTTGCAGTCTTACCAACAATGTATGAGTGTACCTTTTCCCCTACATCCTCGCCAACACTTACTGTTGTTTGTATTCTTGATAATTACCATTCTGAGGGGAGTGAGATGGATTCTCACTAGAGTTTTAATTTGCATTTCTGTAATTACTAGAGATGTTGAACATTTTTTAATATATTTGTTGATTGATTTTATATCTTCTCTTGAGAAGTGTCTGTTCAGTTCCTTAGCCCATTTATTTTTTTTTTAAATTGAGTTATTTGGTTTTTTTGGTGTTAAGTTTTTTGAGTTCTTTGTATAACCTGGAGATACATATATAGTTACTTCCTTTATTTAAACTTAGAATATTTAATGAATAACATAATGTTTTAATTTTCAATTTTCTCTATTTTTCTCAATCCAACTTTCAAATCAGGATGGTGATCCAGTTCGCCCAGGAGTGGCCATGACTGATCTTGCCACTGGCCTGTATGCATATGGAGCCATTATGGCTGGATTGATACAAAGATATAAAACTGGAAGAGGACTGTTCATTGATTGTAACCTACTGTCATCTCAGGTACCAATTCAAATAAGATTTTCAGTAATAGTTAACAAGTATGTGTTTGAGTTACATTTTTATATTAAATCCTATGGTTACATGTGCAAAAAACCCCCACTAAAACCGAAAAAGTAAAACAACAGGCGAAAGAAGCAACAGAAAATCATAACAAAAATTGTTCTGTTTTGATCCATGTTTTCATATTAAAATTAACAAACCATGAATATTTTGTTGTAATATGGATGTTATTGAGGTAGAATTTTAAAGACTTCTTACTAGAATATTTTAGTTCTATTGTGAGCCAATGGTGTAGTTTCTCCTACTTTATTGTCACATGAACTTTGTAACTACTATTCATTAGAGCTTCTTCACTTTTTATGTGCCTTGGACCCCTTTGGTAGTCTGGTAAAATTTGTGAGCTTATCTTGAAATCATATTTTTAAATTAATAAAATGAGATACTCAGTGTTACAAAGGAAGCCAATATATTTCAATGTAAAAATAATTTTTATATTATAATAACGTGATTTTTACTAACATATTAAACTGGAAGATATAGCAATGGGTCTAATACCATTACAATATTGAGACATGGTTGAGCATAGATGATATTTCAAGAAATCTGTAATAACTAATATGATATGAAAATATATATAATATATATTGGTGATAAAGTCATAGGTAGTGCTAATATTCTGGTGATTTTGTTATCTATATTCATAATTGAAGAAAATGCTACATTTTTGTTAGAGATTTACGAAAATAAAGATATAACTTTTCTCATTAAAGTTAATTAACTTCCAGAATTCTGTCAATGAATTCCAGATTAACACCCCTAGTTTAGACAGTTATCAGTTATGTTGTGCTAAATACTAAACTGTTGAAATGAAAGGGTTAATGCACTCTCAACATGACATTTTGCCTCCTTTTTACTGGATCAGACCCAGATGCTATACCATATGTGGAAGTTGATTCTGAATAGATAATTTTTCAGGGTAGAAAAAAGAAAATATCTAATTTGTGCAAGGAGACATTTTACTGTGGGAAAAATTACTTTCTAGACATAGAGACCTCAGTTGGGAATTTCGGATTTAAATGGCATACATGGGAAAATAGTAAACTTGGAACACTGCTTTGGAGACTTTTTTCTCTTAGGAAAAATTAAGGAGGTGTATGGAAATAAAAAAAAAATCAATAAGGTTAAAGGTGAAACACTTTGTATGGGTTTTTAACAGCAGCTTTGAGTCACATTTAGAATTTTAATGGTTTTATAAAAGGATTAAAGAACTCTCTTCAAATGAGTAGTTTTGTTCCTTTACAGAGAAACGCTTGTTATGAGAAGGAGCTGAAAATCTTTTCTTCCCTTTCTTAATTTTAGAGTGTAAGGCACCTCAAACCTCAGGTAGGTTAAATTATTGCACAAATATAGCACATCTAATAAGTATAGAAGCCATGAAGTTTTGATGGGTGTGTGACCTGTACAGTCAAGAGGGTCTGGGCTTAGTATAAATGTCCTGTTTTAACTGTCTTGAAATTCTTAGAAATTTTTGAACAAAAGACCTATATTTTAAATTTTGCACAGGTCTCCCAAATTATGTAGCAGGTCCTGGAATTGGGACTCTACTTAAGTCTCCTGATCTCTACATAAGACTACTTTATATTTCAATTATTAATTAATTTAAATTGGAAAAAAGTTGTATCATAGGGTTTAAATATTTTCTAACATCTAACTAGAAATTCACCATGTGGAGTGTTTTTCTGTGGGGGAGCATTTGGAGGAGGATGGAATCACCTCTAGAGCTGCTTCAAAGTGAGTGTACACTCATGCATACATATACACAGATATAGATTTTAGTCATTTTTTTTTGTGTGTTGTGTGTTTGTATGTTTGTTGCCCATGTTTATCCTTGAGACTGTTAAGTTTCATGAGTGTAGGGACAGTGTTTGTTTTTGTTTTCCATGGTATTCTCAATGTCCTGCCTAGTGTTAGTCAACCGTAACTTTTCATAACAGAAAAATCTTAAACTTCACTTTGTCTTTCAATTTGAGATAACATTCTATATTCAAAAAGAAAAAACACCAATCAAACCACAAAATGATTAAAATGTGCTTTATGTAAATGAGATGGTTATTTCTAGATAGTTTTCATAGTAGCATAATAGGAAACTTTATTCCTTCTTTTTTAGTGTGTATATATATATACACACATGCTCACCTGCATTAAACACAACATTTGTACATAATTTTAGCTGCCTGGAAAATGAGTTTGATTTTATGCAGAGGTAAAAACACACTTTTCTACTTGTTTTGATTGCATTTCATAGGATAACATATGAATTATTTGTCAGCTGACAAAAATGAATCCTGTACTTCTCTTCAAAGTGATCTAGTGTACAATATACAAATTATACTTGATTTGACTAGTAGCTAATTATTAACTCAGAGATAATTGCCTCAACCACAACAAAACCATTTCAAGTAGTTCCTTGTGGAGACATGACAACTGTCGGGATGTGGTTTATAGTGGGCATCAAAATTTTTGTAGTTTCAAGGGTATAAACTTTTAACCCTTGTCATAAAATTCTTTTGATTTTTTTTAGTCTTAATATGATTTAAAGTTGTTCACTTGAGATTGTCTAATGTCAGAATCTAAATTGTGTTCTTAGATGATATTGGTAAACAACAAGGAAGTGGGTTGGGATGTGGTTCCAATTACTGTGTTGCTCTTATTCCTCTATTGTGGCTCACAGAAATATCTTTTGGAAGTTTTAATATCTTTCCTGTACTTAATTGTAACCAGGCTCCCTTAATTACTTGCTACAGTGAGTTAGTTTTTTAGCACCATAATTATTTTCATGTATAGGACATTTTGTTGTTTGTGATACCACAGTCCTTTCCCCAAATTTGTATATTGTTTGTACTAAGTATATCTGAACATATTACTCATTATTTTAGCATGTTTTTGTCAATAAACTTTTGAATCTCAAACAAGTATATTTTTTCACTTGAATTTTATAAATTCATCTTTTTGTATCTTCAGATACCTATACTTCAGCTTTCCATTTTACTCTTTTTCAAAAGTAATTTTATTCAGGTGTATATCACAAATAAAATTCACCCTATACTGCTACAGGTTAATGATTTTTAGTAAATTGAGTGAGTTATGCAACTATTACTATAAATTGCGGTTGGAAATGAATACTCATATAATCACCTCTGTTCTGGGCTTAACCGTGAGGCTGAGGTGGACAAGTGTTGAGTAGGTAGAAATCGGGCAGGAAATGACTCAGGAGAATTCAGGGTCCATTTTGACTTCTGTGGATCCTAGGAACTTTTGTGTTGCTGGGCTCTTTCCTATATAATAATATTTAAAAAATGTGTTCTATAACAGCATTGATATAAAAGTACAAATATGACACATTATTATATGTTTATTATTATTACATTCATTTTTATTCTGATTTTAAAAGAAAATTAAGACATTTCTGTATACTTCTAAATCATTGTGAATATTGGACATTGTGCCTAATCATGAAGTTATTGTGAAGAATTATGTTGAGAATAATTGATAAGTTGGCAAATTTGTGGGGAGAGAAAGTTATATATTCAAGAAAGAAGTGAAGACTGAAAGCTGAGCTTATGCTGAAGCAGGGGCAGAGGACTGAAGAGTAGAGAGGCACATAGTCTATGACCAAAGAAACTGAGACAATAGAGTATAGAAAGAGAGCTCAAGAAATTAGGGAACTGTAGTTTTTGTTTTTTTAAATATTTTTATTAGTTGTTGATGGACCTTTATTTTATTTATTTATTTACATGTGGTGCTGAGGATCGAACCCAGTGCCTCACACATGCTAGGCAAGTGCTCTATCACTGAGCCACAACCCAGCCCAGGGAACTGTAGTTTTGCATTTGAATTTCCCTTTTTTGGGGGGGTGGGGGAAGTCTGTTGCTTTCCAGTCTTAAAGGTGCTTATCAGCCTAACAATACTTAATTTTCTGTGGCCAATTTTTTTTTAAATATTTATTTTTTAGTTGTACAGAACACCTTTATTTTGTTTATTTATTTTTATGTTGTGCTGAGGATCAAACCCAAGGCCTCTCACGTGCTGGGCAAGTGCTCTACCGCTGAGCCACAACCACAGTCCAACCAATTTTTAATTCTAGTCCAGCTTTCATTCTTTAACCAGCATTTTCCCTAAGACCTGTCATTACTCTATTGACTTAAACTCAGGGGATACAAATGGATATTAACATTAATCTGCAGTACCACATGAATTTGAGGATTTTTTTTAATTCTATGAAAAATGTCATTAGAATTTTAATAGGGATAACACTCAACCTGTAGATTGCTTATTACTTTAACAATGAATAATATTTTAATCCATGGATACAGGATATCTTGTCATTTGTTTGTGTCTTTTTCCATTTTTTCAACAATGTTTACAGTTTTCAGTGTATGGATCTTTCATCTCTTGGTTAAATTTTGTTTTATTTTGTTTTGTTCTTGATATTATTATAAAAAAGCTTATGTTCTTGATATTTTTTGGATATTTTGTTGTCAGTATATACAATACTCTTGGTTTTTATAAATTGATTTTGTATCCTACAACTGTGCTTATTAGTTGTAACAGTTGTTTGGTGCAGTTTTTAGGGTTTTCTGTATATTAAATCATGTTATCTGCAAGCAGGAAATTTTACTTCTTCCCTTCTAGTTTGGGATACCTTTTATTTGTCTTGTTTAATTGTTCTGTCTAGGACTTCCAGTATCATATTATTCTTCTCTTGTTCCTGATATAGGAAAAACTTACACCTTTTCACTGTTATGCTCTTCATTGCATGCTTGTGATATGTGGCCTTTATTGCATCAAAGTATATTTCTTTTATACCTAATTTGTAGAGTTTTTATCATGAAAGGATGTTGAATTTTGTCAATGCTTCATATGCAACAATGTAGGTAATTATATTTTTTATCCTTCATTCTGTTAATGTAACCAAAACAGTTTTGAATGAAAAGAATAAA